TACCTATTATGTGATTTTCGTAGAGTTTAATTTCCTGGATGCGAAGCTCTAATCAAAATTGATCCTATTAATCTATTCTCATTCTCAATTTTTAAAAATTCTGAGTTTTCGATGAAAATTTGAAAATAAGGCTTAAAGATCATACCTTTTTGGGAGTAATCGCATTTTTCAGAAACTGAAAGAGTTCGTGTGTAGGAAAATAAACTGTAGAGAGTAAGAATCACCTAATGGATATTACATATGAGAAAAGGAATTAAAATTTGCCCTCCCAAGTGTTCTCGTTTCCATTTATTAATAATTATTAATTATTAATATATTATAAATTATTAATAATTATTACTTATTAATATCGTACTTTGAGCTTAAAGAGTACCTAGGAAATCAGAAATTCAGAGCAGTCAGTTCAAGATACAGGCATATGCACATCCAACCCTAACCTACTTCCTTACAAATTCTTCTACGTTCCCCTAATAAGATGCTCATCGTACAATTACCATTACTATACCCAGGAACGATACTCATACACTGAATAAGTCATTGAAGTAACGCTACATCGAATAATTCAATTGAATTGAACGAACGACCACGATCAGCAACGACCATGCTTTTCTTATTACCATTGCTTTTTAACTACCTTTTCAAAGTATGCTGCTCCTGTTCCAAAAAAGTGTTCGGCTCATACCCTCGCCGAGTAAAGCAGGAAAGACTTGCATTATGCAAATTCCGTCTCTCAACCTCGACCTTGCCTCCTAAAAGTGAACTCGCCTCCCTCGCGAGTCCTCCTTCATCAATAATTCCTGTTGCACCTCGCGTTCAAACGTCGAGCTCCTTTGAATTCTTTCCTGTTGGTGCTCGATCCTCGCAAGACGACGACGTCGAACACGTGAGGTTGTTCTTGTCGCGAGATCGATATCTGTTGTGCCGTTCGTGCCACCTTCGAGAGGCTATCCTGAAAATCGTGGAAACATCGCGACTGTAGGGAAAGATAGAAAACGGGACGAAAAACGTCACGTTCTATCTCTCGAGGGTGA